AAAAAAAAAAAGAAAAATTTCCACAGGTGGCGCCTGTGGCTCAAAAGGGTAGGGCACAGGCCCCATGTGCCGGAGGTGGCAGGTTAAAACCCAGCCCTAGCCAAAAAAAAAAAAAGAAAGAAAAAGAAAAAATTCCAGAAAACACATACAGCGATACGGCATTGTAGTATATTTGGCACAGCCATTGTAGCTTGTTCTGTTAGATGATGATGAGGACAGTCGTCGTTAGTTTAGTTGCCCCTTGAGGTAGGTATAACTGCCACTCACTGACGCATCAGAAGGCTGTGGTGCAGAGTGGGAAGATACTGTTTCTGAGGGTCGCAGAGCTAGGAAGGGGGAGGCGGCGGAGGCTCCCCTGGGCAGCACTGGGTCCCATCCCTCACACATCTTGCTGTGTAGCTCAGCTTTGCAGATCTGTTTTCCCAGTTTTCCTGGCCCTTCACATTCAGACGAAAGTAGTAGTGGAAGTTGCATTACATTCACACTTGCCCTTTTACAAGGCTCGTTGCTTGCCTGAGACTTTTGGAGGCTGGAGAATACATCCTAACAGGATTTTTTCGTATCTTACCATTTATTGCTTAATGAAGGCTTCCTTCCTGTCACACAGTGTATTAAAATATTTTTAAATTAGAGTTTAAATACTTTGACCTGCTTGTTGACAAGAAACTACAACATATAACAGTTCTTATTAACTTTAATTTTATGATTATTCTGTCTTGGAAACATACATGTAATTTATGTATATCTGAGAACTACAGGGGAAAACCTTTGTAAAATTCTTAGGTGAAGGGAGTGGGCGAGGGTGAGCAGAGGAGTGACTCTGCATGGATCCTGGATCTCAGAGCAGCCTGTTCCCCATTGCCTGTCTGTTCCCACAGGGCTGTGTCACCTGCTCCCCGATTACCCAAACATCCGCAGCCTCCCTTCAGCCCCAACTCCACGTTGCTGTCCAGTCGCCCCCAGCCCCGAGGGATGTCGGAGCCACGGAGCTGCCCCTCCGCCTTGATAGCCCTGCCTCAGGTCAATAGGGACTTGGTTTCTCTGTCATACCAGCTGCCAGAGGCTGATGAGTCCCCCCAGATCCCCTCTGAGAAGAGGAAAAGGAACCATACGGGAGAGCTCCAGGGGCCAGGCTCAGAGATGTGCCTCCCACAGCACCTCGAGGGGGCTGCTGCTGCTCCCGCTTCCCACAGGAAAAGGAAAAGGAAGAAGAGGAAGCGCCCAGAGGACGTGGCCACAGCCATCTCACAGGATGAGCAGATAAGGGGATGTCCTTCAAGACTGGAGTACAGGGAGAAGGGCCAGGCAGAGTTGCCTGCTGACAGACAAGAGCGCAAGGGAACACAGCCACAGGTGAATGGTCAGCAGATGGGGCACGTCATGGGCAGCCACCACGTGAACAACAGGAAGAGGAGGAGGAAGGGAGTAGAGGGACTTGGTGAAGAAGATGTCCACCAGGACCCACCTTGGCACAGGTAAGAGCAGGAGCGAGACAGTGCCTGTGTGCCTCGGTTAAGAAACAAGGCACAAACAGAAATCCATTCCCAGGCAGGGGTGGTCTGGAAATGTAGGTCACTGATCTGAACTTCTAAAATGGGAACATACTGTACAGTGTCCCTGCAGTAGATACCAGTGGATTGAGGCTGAGCAAGGGGCATCTCACCTATAGTGCCAGCACTTGGGAAGGCTGAGGCATGGAGACCCCCATCTCTAAAAATGGGGGTGGGGAAAGGAAATTAGATGGGGCCAGGCATGGTGGCTCATGCTTATAGTCCGAAGACTCTGGGACGCCAATGTGGGAACATTGATTTGAGGCCAGGAGTTTGAGACCAGTCTGAGAAAGAGTGAGACCTGGTGTCTACAAAAAAAATAGAAAAGATTAGCTGGGTCTGGTGCCTGGCACCTATAGTCCCATTTGCTTGGGAGGGTGAGGCAGGAGGATCACTTGAGCCTAGGAGTTTGGGGTTGTAGTGAACTATGATGATGCTACTGCCTCTAGTCTGGGCCACAGATGGAGACTCTGTCTCAAAACACCCAAAATATCAATGTATTTCTTAAAGTGATGGTGAGATGGACAGCAGTGTCCAGACCTTGGCCATCACTGTATGCATTGGGTAGCCCAAGGATATTGAGTTAGGGGACCCTGACCCAGAGCAGGCTGTAGGGTTACATAGGACACAGCAGCCTGCACTCCTGACTTGTTGGCTTTGGGCCTGGTTAGGAATGGATGTGCTGTGTGGCTGTAGTTTACATGTCTCCTGGTTGTCGTGTGGCTGTGAGTACCAGGCACTTGCTATAGTCCACCACTTCTCCATCCCTGAGGAGCGTGTGCTAGCCTGCTGCAACAGTGATATCACAGGGACCAGCCAACATGCTCTGTGCCCTGGGTCCCATGGGGTGAGGGTTTCTGCAGAGTTCCTGGGTCCCATGGGGTGAGGGTTTCTGCATAGTTTAGGGGGTATGCAGTTTCTCCTCCAGTTTGCAAAGAGCTGACTTGTTGCCTCCTACTTCCCAGCAGCTGCTCTTTCATGGACAATGGCGAGCCTAAGACCATGGCGGAATCTTCAAGGAAAAAGAAAAAGAAAAAAAGAAAGCAAGAGTCACAACAAGAAGCAGAAAATGAGCCTTTAGAAGGCCGGAGGAGCGCTAGGCCCAGTGATGCTACAGTCTCAGAGCCAAATAGTCACTTGCTGTCTGTGAACTGCCAGCATCCCAGGGACCACGTGGGTATGCACCACATAGCAGGGGATGGGTGGGTGGAGCAAGAAAGGGCTGGGTGAAGATACAGAAAACCCAGGGGCTTCACTGAGCTTTGCTCTCCTCCCCTGGTCTGTTCCATGGGGCAGTAAGGTTGAAGCTTCCTCGAGTCAAAGCATCCAGCTGATGAAAACTGCCCCGTGGGAAGAGATATAGTGCATAGAAGCTGCAGAACTTGCTGTGAACACAAGTGGTGGGTCTGTCTGCTGAGTGCTTGCCAAAGAGGAGTTTGGTTCCAAAGTTAATCCTCCTCTGCCTCTTCATGTAGCTGGGCCTTTCTGGAGACATCATGGCCCTTTTGTTGCTGGGGAACTATGGCTGGCCTCAGGCACTGCCCCCTCTTGGACAGTGTTTTGCTTTTCTCTGTTTTCTTCAGGACTGGCTGGGGCAGGCCTCAGCAGCCTCTTTGCGGAGACACATCTTGCCACGTAAAGTCTGGAGAAAGTTATCACTGCTTGGGCACTGGAGGCCAGCTTGAGAGAGCCTGCTCCGCAGTCTAGGGGACCTAGTTATGTTAGTGCATTTGGGGTCAGGCAGGCCTTTAGACATTGCCACATATTTATCAGCCTCCCAAGAAAGGGGTGGGGTCTTCAGTAATTTTTTTTTTTTTTTTGTTAAGCAGGCCCTGGGCTGGGTTTGAACCCACTGGCCCTCTAACTACTGAGCTCAGGCACCTCGCTAGAAAGGGGCTGGGTATAGTGGCTGACACCTATAATCTTAGCACTGTTGAGAGGCTGAGGCAGGAAGATCACTTGGACTCAGGAGTTTGAGATCAGCCTGATCAAGAGAGAGACCCTGTTGCCACAAAAAGAAAAAGAAGTTGGGTGTGGTGGCGCATCTCTGGTTCCAACTACTCAGTCGGCTGAGGATTGCTTGAGCCCAGGAGTTTGAGGTTGTAGTGAGCTATGATGATGCCACTCTACTTCAACCTAGACAACAGAGCGAGACTCTATCTCCCAAAAAAAAAAGAGAAAGAAAAAAACCTCCCAAGAAAGGAATTTATCAATAAAAGTAGAATGGCATGAATTATATTACAAGACACTACTGCCATGCAGTGAGGACTATTTATGTTTGCTGGCCAGCGTGTTGCCCTAGTAGGCTGCGCTTCAGTGGCAGTAGAGCCATGCTCTGTGCAGTCCTAGGGGAGCTGGTTTGCTACTGCAAGTGCCCAAGGGATGTGGTTGATCACTAGCCATGTGCCTGGTATGGTGCTATGTGCTGCCCAGGCCCTCAGGGCTAACTACCCTATGCCAGAGCCATACAGTAAAGGCCACGCACACAGGGCAGGTGCTCAGCTGTACAGGCTGTGGGGGAGGCAGCCAAGCCCTCTTCTCTCAGTCTCCAGTGCTGAGTAGAGTGGCTGCATGTGGCAGGGTTTTGGACTCAAGGCAAGAGCCACACCACACATCATGAATGGGCAGGTAGCTCTGCGTGGCCAGGTCTCAGGACTACTGAAGGAAACATGGACACCATTGTGCTGGAGTCTGGAGCACTGATCCTGGAGATCACTGGGGTTGTTGAAGATGTGGAGGTGGGGAGACAAGGTTAGGTTTTTGTATGGGGAAGCCCCATATTCTGGGAGCTATGTGGCAAATGGGTCAAGGTGACTAGGCAGGAGGCAGAGGACTAGTTCAGAAATTATTTCTAGAACCCAGTGAGGTTAGAGAGTACTGTCCTCCCGTGCCAGGTGTACCTGCATAGTGTTGGTAACAGTGGCCAGTTTCTGCCCAAATGGAGCTGGGGAGCCTGAGGGGCCTATGGTAGTGCCACTTGACTCTGCAACAGTGCCAGCTCCAGGTGGGGCCCGAGGTGCTGGCCTTGTCTGGCAGGCAAGGTGTTCCATTTAGAGTTAGGTCTCGCCCCTCCTTCCTTCAGACCTAGGACTTGCACTGCTAACGGTTATGGGGGGGAGGGGTTGGTTTGTTTTTGGCTTTTATTTGCATAAGATCTTTATTAGTAAGTAAGTACTTATCATTAGTAAGCTTTGCAATTATAAATAAAAACTGAGATTTGCTTCCTTGGTAGTTTATTTTAAACGTGTAAATATTTCTTGGCTGCTGTGATTGCAGGGCTGGAACAGGCTTCTCTTGTATCCTGGAATAGAGAGCAGGACTCCAATGTGGTCCAGGAATTGCTCAAATATTCATCTGATAAAGCTTACGGGAGAAAAGGTACTGGTTTTAAGATGGGACTTCTGTTTTTCTTTGGTGGGTGTATTTTGGAGTTGGGGAAGGTATAGAAGGGATCCTGGTATGTTGTGAACCTGGAGGGACAGCATTGCTTGGCTTTGGGGAGAACCTAAACACTTGCTGGCTTCCCGTTCAAGCTCCTGGCCATTGCATAAAGGTGCATTCTATCTATGGAGAGATTCCGGGCTGGGCAGAGTATTAGGGTGTCTGGCAGGGGAGAAGGGGCAGAGTGAAAAAGCTCTTCTAGCTGCAGTAACATTGGGTCTTACTTGGAGCATTTCTTTTATAAGTCAGACTTCAAGAACGAACAAAGGAAGGCAGGGTTTTTAAAGAACGGAGTTTTATGGGCTGGTGATTCAGCTTAACAGAGAGTTGCTAATGAGGTCTCTACATGGATTGTCCTGCACACATGTCATTCTGTGCTCACCTTGAGTCATCGACGAGGTCTCTGCACTGACCGTCCTACACATAGTATGTCACTCCACTCTCGCCTGTTCTTTGCTTGTACATTTCCACCAAAAGGTGGCATTCACAAATTTTGACTAGTTAGGAATGGACAGTCTAGGTGGTGGTTGCAGGGAGTTCACAAACATGCCAATACCACGTCTGTCGTGTAGTTTTGACCTGGGATGGCGAGATATCGGCGGTGAGTCGGGATGCCATGGAAGATAGCAGACTGGCCCAGACCGAGACTGTGGTTGATGCCTGGGATGAAGAGTTTGACCGGGGGAAGGTATGACACCTGATCGTGACAGTGGGCTTGATGGAGCATGGCTCAGTGGGGACCAGGTAGCTGAGGGGCAGCACCAGTGAGGAGGGCTCCTGTCCTGGCACCTGGCTGTGGGCACAGTGTTGGTTCCTTCCTCAGGGAAGTGGGCGATGTAGGGAACACCCCCAGAAGGTTGCCCTGAAGAGTCAGTCTGTGGCCAAGCGTGTGGGGGTTGTGTGTGCGTGGAGTAACTTGGCAATTTGTGTGCAAGAAAGAGCCACCGTGAAGGAGGTGAGATCACTTTTGGGAATTATGACACTGAATGATCTTGATATAGGAAAAGAAAATTAAAAAATTCAAGAGGGAGAAGAAGAGAAACTTCAATGCCTTCCAGAAACTTCAGAGTAGACGGAACTTTTGGGCTGTGACTCATCCAGCCAAGGCTATCAGCCTCAGCTATCGCCGCTGAATATGCTGCTGTGGAAATAGGTCAGTGTGTAGTGGGAGTGTGTATGTGATGGGCGTGGGGGTGTATGTCTCTGGGGTGTGCAGTAGTCAGTTGAAAAGAACACGGTGTGGTGTTCCCAGCTCCATTAAGATGCATGGTTGGTTTCCTATATTGGACTCATGGCCAAGGATCTCATTTCTCACTGTCAGGACCGATGTGCTTTGCCCCATAGCATCCTGGAGACAAGGCATCACTTCCTGGATCTGAGGGAGCTGTCTGTGGGGACTCCACTGTCCGATCATGTCCAGGCCGCTGCACTGTGAACCTGCCTCGATGGGGGGCTCTCCTGGTACCACTGTCTGCAGACAACCTGATGCGGCTTTGGAGCTTCTGTAGGTTGACATCTTTGGTGACATTCGTGGCAAACCCTGCAAGAGGAATCACAGCACGTGTGTTGAGCAAAGACAACAGCACACCTACTGGACATCTGGAACAGGCCAAGCCTCCTTGTGTTCATGGACAGCGGAGTCTGTGCTAGCAGTAGAAGTGTTTGCCCCTGGTCTGGGGCTGTCAGAGAGGGCAAGGGCTAGTGTTCAAACACCTGCCAGGTGTCCTCCGGCTCTCAGGGTGACAGAAGTGTGGTGGGCTGCTCTTCTTGCTGAGCCATCCCTTGCTTCTGGTGGCTGGTGCTGCCATCTGTCGGAGCCTGGCCCTTCCCGTTTCCTCAGTGGGACCTCTATGCCTGTGCGCCTTATCTGTCCTTAGAAAGAAAGAGCCTTGAGGCCATCCCTGCATGGCCGCCTCTTTCTTTCGTGGAACTGGGGGTTGGGGGTGGCCCTACATCCTTCCTTGCGAGCAACTCCAGACTGGAGAGCAGGGTCTGCTGGGGGTGGGGCCCTTGACATCGTTTGCTAATCCAGCTGCTTCTGAGGCTGCTCTTTATTCTGAGGCGACTTTGCTGTAGTGTCCCTGCCGGTGCACTAACCCCCAGGTTTTACCAAGATATGTTCTTGGGATAGAATTCTCTGTTTATTTTACTACTTAATAATATATATATAAAAAACATTTATTTTTGACCAGACCTGCAGCTTCTATTAGCAATATGTTTCCTTTGCCTAATATGCAAATCCTGGCTTTGTTTGCTCAATTTTGTGAGTGCTTTTGAATTTAGATGATTGTATAAGTGAAGATGACTTTTCTTAATATTGTTCAAGCTGTGCCTGCAAACTTTAATAAATATGGGAGGTTCTCAGTGAAGGTAATATTTTTAAGAAAAAAAACGAATGGCCTAGTAGTAGTAGAAGGTACAGAAGCCAGTCTGAACTTGATCCTCTGGTGATCATCCTCGTTTTTACCCCCTTGACCTGCCACTGGTAGAGGGGGACTTGATATAGGACTTAACACACCTTTGGAGTGGCTCTGCTTGGCCGGCCACTTCTGATGCCTTCCCTGTAACACCCCCTTGCATTAGCATTGCTTTTGTTCAGCCCCCTGCACAGGGCCTTGGTTCATGCAGATATATAGAAAAAAGAGCTGCCTTTTTATATGAGGAGATACATTTCACTTTTTTCTTTTTTTGCAGTTTTTTGGCTGAGGCATATTCGGCCAGCACCCTACTCCTTTGAGCCACAGGCGCCACTCACATTTCACTTTTTTCATCTGGATGGTTCTTTTGGTTTTTCTTTTTGTTATATTTCTCCTTTTACAAAAGTTGGGACAGAATAGTGATCTCTGTAGCCTGCTGAGAGTGGCTGCCTCCAGGCCCCATCGCAGGTATCATGGAGGATTGCCCTCTGAGTGTTTAGGGGTAAAGGGCCGCTGCCGTGTTCTGTGGCTTTGTACTCTGCCATCTTGGGAGGGGACACAGCCACCTTTGGAGCAGGCTGTTTCCCTTTTCCCTTTAGGGTGTTGGCATTCACCCCTGTATGAACTATTTGCCCTGCTGTATTTTCTGTAATGTTTTATAGTTGAAAATTTTAGTTGTCTGGTAGCCCAGAGTTTGTCTCCTTTCTTTCTCTCCCTCCTCTCCTCCAAATCAGTCTCTTCTTTTTTCCACTAGATAATCATAAAACCTTTTCCTGAGGAAAATATATCTGTTATCTCTTGGGCAGTGGCAAGTGTTGGCCTCATTTTTTATAGCATTTATCACTGTTAGTATCGAGTCCTTTCCTTGCACAAAAAACCATCAGCCAAACACAGAAGGGAAAGGATAAGGCCCAGAAAATTAGTCCAAGTTCTAGGTGACATGTACATATATAAATAAATAAAAATAACTAAAGCATTTATAATAGCAGTCACTTGGGTGATGTAGAATCTGGGTTTGATTTGACCTTGTGCTTAGGGAGGAGCTGGAGGGAGTGGGGTCTGTGTATGATGGCCACTTCCTGGGGCCCTGAGCCCCCTTACTCACCTGTCCCACACCCTGGACAGGGGGCCATGCCTGTGTGTGTACAGGTCTACAGCCCCAGGCACTGCACCTCCTCTCGGGGGGCCTGGTAGCCCTATGTTGCCATGGTCTTGGTGCAATAAATCTTGTGCTTTTGTGGGTCATTCCTGTGTCTGCTTTGGTTTTTCGTTTGATTTTTTAAAAAGGTACAACCCACAAGCTCCCTGTCCATCTCCCCAGCTCGTCAGGCTTTTAGCCATTAGCTGTGGGCAAATGAGTGCCTCCAGCTCTTGGTGGCAAAAAAGTTTAGTGCAAGTTTTACTTAAGAATAAAGAATAAAGACATGTACTTAAATTTAGGGGGAAAGGAATCTTCTGAATTGGTTCACTAAACTTTGTGGGGAATTTTAAGTGAACTAGTGTATTAAGGAAACTCAGAAATATTCGTATCACCCATCTCTGAGTTTTTTTTTTTTTTAACCGAATAATGTTAGGATTTCTACAGGGAACGATGAGGGAGAAATAACAGATTTGACTTCACTGTGAGATTTCCTTACAGCCGGAAGAATGGGGCAGGCACCTGAATTTGGATCTCCTGAGCTTTGCTTGTACAGGAGCAGGAGCAGGTGCTGCCTGTGTTTAGTGCCAGTGTAGTCCCCTCGGACAGACCCACTATTTCCTGGCCACTTCTCCAGCCACAGATGAGAGGCTTGTGGTAAGGACAAACTTAAGTTTTGTATGACCTAGAATATTGATATAGAAATTTTATTCAAATAAGATGGAAGCTGCTGGTGTTAAGCAGGGCTGTCCTGGCCAGGGGCTGTGCTGAGCAGGGTCAAGGTCTGCATTTGTCCTGGAAATTGAGGTCAGGCTGGAGGGTCAGGAAGATCCCTGCAGGGGTGCACAGGGAGGGACCAGGAGGTTGGATTTGGTGAGAGCAGCCCTAGCGCATGGAGGGCAGAGACAGGTTCCCAGTCTGGTGGCTTCTATGCTAAATGGCTCTTGGCAGTTCTGTTACTCGACCTCCGCAGCTGCTCAGCCTTCCTTGTTGACTTAACTCTCTTCACCCAGATGTGTCCATCAAACATAGGGTGTCTTGTCTTCAGCCCAGTCACCTCAGGAGGTTGGCTTGACAGCTCAAAATGAGGACAGCCAGGTAAGAACAGCAGAGGTAGACTGGACTTGGTGGCTCACGCCTATAATCCTAGCACTCTGGGAGGCCAAGGCAGGTGGGTTGCTTGATCTCACGAGTTCAAGATCAGCCTGAGCAAAAGCGAGGCCCTGTTTCTACTAATAATAGAGGCAAGAGGATTGCTTGAGTTCAAGAGTTGGAGGTTGCTATGGTGCCACAACACTCTACCGAGGGTGACCAAGTGAGATTCTATCTCAAAAAAAAGAAAAATCCTGGGAAGCAAGGCAGCACCTAGGCCCAAACCAAAGCAGGGGGCACAGTGGGCCATCAGAGAGCCCGGACAGACAGATGCGGCTGGGAGGCTTTGTCATGTCAGCCGAGCTGTGTCTAAAGGAACTTCTAGTCGTGGTCTGGGCAGTGGTTGGGGGTTGGTTCTGAGACCTTTGAGTAAGGGGAGACCATAGCTTTTCACTCAGAGATGCTTCCCAACACGACTCTGGGTCTGTGTAAAGGTGCCTACAGTGAAGTTCCCTCATGGAGGTGGACAGTCTCAGCCAGAGCTGAGAGCCCCAGGTGGAGGGCACAGGGGCACGTGGCTATCCTGCTGAAGTGGGTGTGAGGTGGGTGATGTTGTGAGAGGGTGGGAGGGCCATCATCAGCCAGCAGGACTCCTGGGCAGCCTTAAGGTAGTTGGTAAACCACAGGTACAGGGTATGTCTGGGTTGGTAATTTAGTCAAGAAGGGTTGCCCAGACGTGACTTGCTTTTTGTATTCCCAAGGCTGATAGTATAGTCTGCATGGTGGCCTGTGGGTATGAGCAGGGTGCAGTGGTCAAGGCCAGAGCTAGGAGACTGGCAATAGCAGCAGAGATCAGGGCTGAGGCCACGGGATGGAATCCATAGGGCAGGTGACTGGTCAGGTGGAAGGCTTCTGCTGGCATTTGACTTGGTTGGTTTCAGGAGGTCTTCAGGTGGGTGACAGATTCAGTCTAAGACAACTGCAGTTTTGGCAGAACAGGGAACCCAGGGAGATTCACAAAAATGAGAAGTGGGCAATGAGTCTTCCAATTAAGAAAACATCCAGGGGTGCCTGTAGCTCAGTGGTTAGGGCGTTGGCCAAATGCAATGGGGCTGGTGGGTTCGAACCCGGCCTGGGCCTGCTAAACAAAAAAAACAAAATAGCCGGGCATTGTGGCAGGCATCTGTAGTTCCAACTACTGGGGAGGCTGAGGCAAGAGAATTGCTTGAGCCCAAGAGTTTGAGGTGGCTGTGAACTATGATGCCATGGCACTGTACTGAGGGCAACAAAGTAAGACTGTCTCAATAAAAAAACAAAAATAAAAAAAACATGCAGGAGTCTGGACGCCAGGTAGGCATTTGTTCATAAGCCCTGGACATCTTGTTAGGAGTCATTATAGCAGTGACAGGGCAGTGTTGTGTGAGTCCCTGCCCGGAGTTGAACAACTTCTGCATAGATGCTGAAAAGCAAGGGTGGTTTTGATGAGGGCTGCTGTGGGGTGGGTGGCACCGTGCAGACAGTGCTGCACGCTCTGCCTCGCCGCCCGGAGTGGCTCTACTCCCTCAGACCCACGAGGGCTGCTGTGGGGTGGGTGGCACCGTGCGGACAG